ACACACACACACACACACACACACACACACACACACACACACACACACACACACACACACACACACACACACACACACACGTTTCATTGTTATTCAATGCCACCGAGATGTTGAATCGAATGGTGCGAAATTAATCGGCGACAATTAATGCAAATTATCATTATTAACCATAAATTTTAGTGTCTACATAAAGATACATATAAATTATAAATAATTAAAAAGGCATTTACCAGCGCAACAAAGATCTATCTTATTTAGATCGAAATCACAAATAATTAATTGATTATCCTTCAGAAATTTATAGAATTTCTCGCACGCGAAAAGATCTGCCATAAAGCAAATTAAAAGATAGAAACTTAACTTAGTCAAAAAAATAAAATAATTGCTACCAATTGCTGCGAATCGCGTGTTCATCGAGCCACGTAATCGAGAAAATCCGAATAATTTATCGAATAGAAAAATCGCGGTTGAGAGCACGTTAAAGACTCCCGTGTTTAAATCGGTACGCGGAAGGGTGCTCGTATATGCGTACAAGAGGGAGGGTTGATAAGGGGGTGAAAACGGAAACCATTCGCGTTGTGGCCGTTGTGGCTACATTTCCCCGTGGCCTATCAATTTCTCCCTATTAATAAACGAACGGTTAAACTTTTTAACGAGCGGTCAGACTTTCACTACCTAAGCGCGACCAAGCAGCCAACGGCCGGGATTCTTTCACGTATCGCTGACGCCTCAATAGTCGTGCACGTGCACACATGCTCGCGCGTGCCATAACGGCGCCCTCCAAAGTTTTCATCCTGCTTTACATTCGGTATTGCCAAAGATGCCTCTTGCCTTGTGCGTTTGTGTGTTTGCATGTATGGTGCGTTGCGCGTGTATATGTATTTGTGAATATGTGTGTTATCTTCCTTAATCGAGTATCTGTAATGAATTACAATTTCCGATTGTAACAAAAACAAAATAGAATCGCAATTATGTGCTGGCTCTTAAAGCTTTTTCTCTCATCTCGCTAAAAAATATTCCAAGAAGAGATCCCATTTTATTTTAGGTTTGAAGCGATCTAGAATCTCTGAAAACACGACGATCTTGTCGACCAGCGATACCGGCAACGAAGATGATCGTGATTCTGATTCCGGTGGTGAATTGCGAGCCGATCGTTCGATAGGTAAGATCGCTAGATTTTTCTTCTTCATCTTTCTCTTAAGCGAAAGCTCCTCTCGTAAAGATCGCGTATCGCGATTGCTTGTCGAATCGATTGATCTGCTGTTAAATTCTTAATATAATTGTATAAAGTTCTCCCGATGAAATGGCAAACGTTACAGTAGTATCGACGTCGTCAGGAATACCGGAAACTGAGGAACAGTCCTCGACAAGGAAGCGTACTAATAGCCTGAATGATTCCGAGGAGGGCAGTCCAGAACCGGGCTCGCAGAGTCCGACGCATACTCCTCCGTTGACACCCGCCTTGACACCGCAAAGGGAGGATACCCCAGCGCCGGAAAATCTCAGCCTACGTAAGAGTGGCAGTCCTCCGCAGACACAACAGATATTGCAACCGGTGGATCTAGTTCAACCTAGACCTAGTCCTCCGTTACCCCCTTTAGCTGTGAGTTTTGTGATTTTAGATCTTAGACCTAGATCTTACGCCTAGTGAAATAGTGGAAAAAAAAATAACGATAAACGACGAATCGCAGAATGAATATCATGTGACAATTTTGACAATTAGGTACCTTTTTAATAATTCTATAACTTTCTGTACTCCTGCCCCTTCCTCTCTCTCTCTCTCTCTCTCTCCTTTCCTCTCTTTTTTTTTTTATTACTGATATCGCTTCTTGTAATAATTTAACATAAATAGATACTAAAATTAAATCGAGTGAAATCGTGTCACTGATTCTACAATCATAAAATGAAAAATATTTGTCATGTATAGAAAAAATATATATTTGTTTAATTCATAATGATTTCAGTTTTTGTTAACAAAAAGAATTAGCTTTATCGTTTGGGAATATGTCGATTAAAAGTTTTAATTTTCTTCACAATTTTAATTATATTTAAAAGTAATAATTTATTCAAAAGTAAAGTGCAAAGATTTCATTGGATATAACGTACTCATATTCTCGTGACAATTTCGAGATATATATATATATATATTTCTTTATTTATTTATTTATATATTCCCTCTTGCTCGAAACTTTCACGAAAATGTTGCAACAAATAAGATTCTTTTCATTAAAAGTAATAAAAGTCGCACGATATATCCATTTGCATCGCAACAATGTCGAATCGAACAAAGGAGGGGCAGAACAGATTTTATATCTGTTCAAAGACGCGAAATGACGTGACAGGCTCGAGTGAGCGATAATCCTCAAAGGTGAAATATGCCCGATTGCAGACCGCGACGACAGTGCACTTCCCTTCTTACGCTTCCCTTTACGGGCCGACGGCGAGCTCGTTGGCGTATTGCTCGCCGGCTCTCTATCAGCATCAACATCATCATCATATGCCTGAGCCGCGTGAGATTCACATGCAGATGCAGATGCAGAATATTCAGCAGACTTGTGGACTGCAGCTGCAGCAGCAGCAGCAGCAGCAGCAGCAGCAGCAGCAGCAACAACAACAACAGCAACAACAGCAACAGCAGCAACAACGTTCACCAGTAGATGTTCTGCTACGTGTATTCCCCGGAAGACGTCGTGCCGATGTCGAAGCGCTCCTCCATCGTTGCAAAGGTAAGCGTTTCAGCTTTCTCGAACATGTGCTATTGACAGATATTAGAGGGACTATTTAAATTAATCACGCGCGAAATAAAAGTTGATCTCGATAATCTTCTCTTATAATTTTCCGAAACTTGATTTATATTTCGATACAATTGCGAGAGAAAGAGAGAGAATACGGTTGTGTTTGATTGTTCGAAGGAAAAATTGATGTGTTATAAATACGTTTTTGTCACGAAAAGAAAGCGTGCGACTGAAAATATGTTTTTATTATTTATCTTGTTGTTTGATTACCGTACGTAACCCTCTAGTTTACTACTAGTAGATTGCTAATTTTTTTTCATTTTTATTTTGAAATATGACGATATCTCGACTTGACATTATGCGATACGTATGTCGGTTTTTATTATACATTACACGAATTTCACGAAGTCGTATATAATCAAGATCGCGCGCAGAAAAGACAAAAGACGAAAGACGAAAGAGGAAAGAGGAAAGAGGAAAGAGGAAAGAGGAAAGAGAATTTGCCTATGTGTCGCAGGCGACGTGGTGTCCGCTATGGAGGTGCTGGTTTGCGAGGACAGTCTGCAGCCCAAATCGGCGTTCTCGCCGCTGGCGGGTGCCCTGGCATCAGCCGCCGTGGCGTCCGCCGCGTCCGTCTCGGCGGCGGCGGCTTATGCGAGCCGCGCCGCGTATTGCACCACTCCGATACCGTCGACGCGGCATCGGTTCCTAGCCGCGCCGTACACCGGTACCGGTTACCTGCCCACTGTCATCAAGCCGCCCAACCAGAGTCTACATGCCAATGGTACCGGTGACGCCTATCGGGAGACCAGTCCCGACGATGCCAGCGACAAGACGAGCTACTCCGAGTGACCGGACGAAAGTTACGCCACCGTCTGGTCGTATTCCTCGATCGTTCCCTAACTAGAACCGGTATCTATTTAGGGACTATACTTGGTTCGTTCGCCTAGGCCTAGGGCCTAGTTTGCCATAGGAGTGCAAAATGAAATGACACTGTTCTTGAGAGACAGCTTTGGCAGCGTCGTTTGGCAGCCAAAAGAATTTGGCCAAGACTGTCCAAGAGTTACTTCAAATTCTAACCTAACGATCACAATGATGCAACGTTATTAAAATGTCGAAAAGGTCGATCGTTTAATCGGAAAATATGCGGCACATTGGTGGTAACAACTGTCGAAGAAAGCATAATCGACCACGGTTGACCACGGTTACTCGACCACGGTTATCGTTTATCATCGATTATCAGTTTATCTTGTCGTATATCTCGAATATCTTCTCTCTTTGAATCGACTTTGAATTGACTTCTGAGGATTTTCACGTAAATTTGGCTTCTCTCACAATTCTTTCGCAATATTCTTACGCAGATTAGACGTAATCTTTTAACAATGAGAATGAAAATATTGTACAAATATATTTACCAAGTGAGAAAAATTCTTACTCAATTCTTTTAATCGGTTCCCAAATTATCTTCAAACTGTACGTGACGAATAAATTTAATTACGCGACGAGCCGATAAAATATCATTTTAAAAAGTGTCTCTATCCAAGTGTCGACAAGTGTCTACTCATTACCGGGGCTCGTTTGAGAGTTGAGATATGAAAGCTCAATAACGTTGCAGCAAAGCTGTTCTACTAGACAATAAAGGGATAAAAATTGTTGTCTTGAAAAAAGAAGGTGCTGAGAGCGCTTCGACAATGACAAAATGATGAAGAGATCGAGACAATCCGCGCGTATCTGATTTTAATATTTATATATTTACCCTCGCGCGAAAGGGTGCTTAACATGGATGCTTAATCAGATGTCTGCGTTAATTATCCGTCGACTCTAAATCGTCAATGATGAATTTCGCTGTATGACGCAACACACAACGCGTACAAAAGTACATGAGAAGAGAAGCGCCAAAAGATAATTAAATTCACGGTCTCCAGAATATACTTTATACATGTGTAGATAAAGACTACGTAGACAGATATGTGTGTAGGCAACAAGTTCGACGAATATATCAGCCAAATGAAGAAGAAGGTGAGTCTGTAAATATATGACGCTATATAGCTAATTTTATCTTACATTAATCTCGAGATTTTTGCCGGAATACGTTAAACGTTATACGTGTTAATACGCGCGTACACACACGTAACATATATAAATGTTTGCCTGTAAGTATAACGCTTGCAAAATATCTAGATTGGCCACTAGCGACTGAAGATATCATCATTCTACCGTAGTTACCAAATGATATATTACTCAAAGGAAAATGTATAAACCGCAAATACATTCAATAAATAAGATATTGATACTCTATATAGAATGTTAATTCATTCAACCCCCTGTTTTAAATGAAAAAATTCTTGGTAAAAATAATCTTAATTTCATAATTTAGAAGATTGATGCCGAAATATTTTTCTTTAATTAAAAGCTACTATCATTTTGATTCTCGTTGATCTATCTATGATATTAATTTGCGAATGAGGATATTTGATATTGAATTTTTTTATATTTTATTTTTATAAAATATACATTTATAAACAATTTATACATTATGGTTGACTATTTTATATATAGACTCGTAATAGTATGAAATAATCTCTTTCTTCTTACAACAATTACTTATTAATTATTACTTATTAATTTTTATAATTTGTATTGCGAATGTGTGAGACGTAAATCTTTTTCGAGAATCTATCTGCGACGTAATTTCTGTTGTGGTGAAAAAAAACGAGACACACGTATAAATACGTGCGATAAAGGGCGATGACTGATTTCAAGGCTCTGAAATGATTTTCCGGCTGAATGAAAATTTCACTGCGTTCTTCGACAAACCAAAGGGAAAGGTATCGAATGACGAACATTTGCAGGTGAAGAAACGGGATACGCATGCTGTTGTATTTCACAAACCGTTTCATGGTCGATCAATCTCAAATCACGCTGCTCTACTTCGATAAATCGATCTCGGTCAATGCGAGTGGTCAATTTTGCCGCTCAATTTACGCAGATACACGGAATTGTAAAGAGAAAGTAAATTATAAAATTTTTCCCATACATATTCTCCATACATTTCTTTCGTAAGAGCTTTCGTATCGAAGAGTTTTCAGTTATTTCATATCTCAATCCTAAACCTCAATCCTTGTGCGCTATATTATACTTACTTTCATACGCGCGCGCGCGCGCAAACTTTCTCCCTATTTTGTATATATGTGTATGTGTCTATATCTGCGTGTACACAATATAAGAGAAACGTTTTACGTCTAAGACAAATTCGATTACAAAATTGTTCATACATCTTTAAGAAGATGATACACATGGGTATCAAATTAAAAATAAATCCGCTCGATCAACGATCGAATTAATCTTTCTTGGATGATTCGGGCGATCGAAAAAGATGACCCTCGTCGCATATACTTGGCAGACAATTACGTCGGTCGGACGTCGGATGGGTACACGTACACGTACAGTGTATCGATGGAATACCGATAATCGGCTGGCCTCTACAAGGCGCATATCCGATAGGTCGATGCCTGAACACGCGCCCGGCGTTAATACACCCGACAATTTGTGCCCGCGTGCGCGACGCACACGGGCATTATAATGCCCGTTATTATTATTTACGAGGCATGGCCGCTTGGTTTTCCAGGGGCGGCAATATATAGACACCCCGCGGAGTTTCTTCTTTTAGCTACTGGTTACCATCTATAATGGAGTATAATAGCACCCTCCTCTCTTCTCACTCTCCTTGTCTTTACCTCTGCCGCGACCGGGGTGCGCTTTAATCCGCAGTCAGAGAGTGCAACAATCCCCTTTTTTCTTCGCTTCTCGCGTCTGCACCGAGGAATTTTAAACCACTGAGCAGGGAAGGGGGTTGGTAGAGCTGGAAACCGATCCGGTTGTTGTGCGAAAAGGGGAGCTTGAGCACTGAACGATGAAAGTAAAGTAATTTAAGATTCTCTGAAGAGCGGAAGATCGAGGTGGTGAGATTGTTCTCGTCGAATTGTGCTCGTGTCGATGTTGATCGGCTTTAAAATCGGCTTTTAGTCATTAGTTTTTCTTAATCTTGTCGCGAGCTCGTCGCTTTCGCAAACCCCGAGTTCAAATCTGAAAAACGGTTAGTGAAACAATTAATCACAATTATCTTCTAATTCCTCGTTAACCTTGTGATTTGCAGAAAAATTTGCTTCTATTTTATCAGAATAATTTATAATTTCTAAAATAATAATATGTGAAATGATATAAAATGATATAAAAATTATGTAATTTTGTATATATATGTACACATATCTCTATGTATATTTTCACGAGATGAGAGATTTATTGTATAATTTTCTTTGTTTTTTCACAAAATAAAATACAATTGAGTAATATAATAATATTGAATAGAAAAGAGTATATTTTTTAAATTTAAATTAAGAAAAGTTTAATCGTTAAATGCGCGTGCATCGAATGGGAAAAATGCTTAATGCTCGAGTACAATTGAAGAACGCTTGTATTGGATAAGAAAGTGTTTTGTCAATTTAAATCGGATGATGAAAAGATAATGTTAAATCTTACAGCGAGCAACTAGTCGAGCAGCGAGTAATTAGTCGATTCGATCGTCGAAAGACGACACGACGGCGTTACATAATACCAATAATACCAATAAGGATTTTTACTTACATACGACTACTTTTTCCTTTCCGTATCTTCTTCTCCTTTCTTTTTTCATTGGCTAACGAATTTTCGTCCTCGACGAAGCTATAGCTAACCGAAGAATAACGAGTCAGATGGCTTTTAACATTTTTTCGACTTCCATCAATATTTGTTCTCTCGCTCGCTATTTCTCTTCGTCTTCTTCTCCGTATGGGAACCGAGACAAGTTCTCCCGCCCCATGTGGGGTAGCACCCACACGTGTGTTTCGTAGCTACACATCAATCTGCTTAAATATACATACATACGAAATGCATGGAAGCCAATCGAAGAGAGATCTTTTGGGTCGCGCGCGGAAGAGAGAATAAAGTGTTGCCGAACGTCAGCAAACATGGCGCCGTGTTTGCTCGTCCCGGGAAACGATCGTTCTCCACGGTACCACTGATCTATGTGCACACAAGTACATATGTGTGCGTGATTTAATGTATAAGAAGGATGATACCGTGCGCGCGCGCGCGCGCGGATATCTTTTCTGCTGGGTAATCCTACTTGGTAATATTCTAGGTAATACTCTAAAATAAATTATTTCTCGATAATTTTGTTTCAGAATAATGCAAAGAAACACAAATTGTTGGCTTGTTAATTATGAAATTTTTTTCTTTTCGTTTTATAGGCTCTACCGAACGTAATAATTTAGCACAGATCGTTTATCATAGATGAGAGAGACCTAAAGAAAAACATGGATCATGAACCATGCTTCAGTATTTATAAAAATACTGTACTTTCATTTTTCTATCGAAAATCTCTCGTTTCTCAATCATTTGTTATCTTGTGTGGCATAGGGCGAAATCAGTCGGGAGAAGAGAGAACGAAGTAATAGAGTCTGGGGATCGCGTCGGGACGAATCAAAGCCCCCTTCCTCTGGGAGGGAACGTCGCGAAACAATTCCGAACTGAATAATATTAGTATCTAACAATAGACGTGCTAAATTGAAATACAGAGAGCACCATGCTGTTTCGCGTGCCGCGCCTCGCCTCGTCATATCGCACCGCACCGCACCGCACCGCATTCTCCGCGCCATGCCATTATAAACGTTCGTTCCCCTACGTGTAGGTGTATCGTGTACGCGCGCATGCACGTGCATCAGTGTCGAGGTGCACGTAGATGAAGGACGTAGCGGCTGTGCACCCTCTCGCGTCCGGGTGTTGGTTCTCCGTGACGATGCTGAGGATCACGGTTGCAGGCTGCAATACGAAGCTGCACAAGGCGAGAAATAGAATGCAAATGAAATATTAATTAAATCTAGGAAAATTTGTACTCTTTCTCTCTCTCTCTCTCTCTCTCTCTCTCTCTCTCTCTCTCTCTCTCTCTCTCTCTCTCTCTCTCTCTCTCTCTCTCTCTCTCTCTCTCTCTCTCTCTCTCTCTTTCTCGTTCTCGTTCTCATTTGTTCCATTCCTATAATTTTCATTATTTCTCTCCTCCGACTTTCCTCCAACATCCAACATCCGTTTCACATCCTTTAGAAACAGCTCGAGCACCCCTTGCCATAGTCCGCTATTTCGTAGTATACGTGTATCGCTCGCTTCGCTCGCGACAATGGCATCAGGCATCGAATTCACTCTATAGCTCGGACATATTCCATTAATTACTTTCACTTTGCGTCAATGGCATTTCCATTTCAATGATCGTCTCGCCCTGCCCTCATACCCGACGTCGACGGTTCCACCGCGAACATCGCTACCTCGATCCCCCAAGCCATTTCCCCCTCCCCTCCATTCCAAACGGATTCCATCGCCACCCGCTCATT